CACTTGTAAACTTAAAATATATAATGTATATATTTGTACATGTCAATTTTTTATTATTATTATATAAATATTATTTTTTTTAAATTTTGACAGAGTTTTCTTTATATTTTTTATATACCAAGTTATCAACTTAATTATTTTTTAATTTGTAACATCAATCACAATATTTGTTCTATTATTTGGATTTCCAACACTAAACAAATGTCAATATCTCAATTTTATTTTCTATAAAACACTATGATAAAAGCTAACAAATTCATAAAAATATATATAAAACCAACCATAAATCAATTTAACAATAATAACATTATAAATTACATCACACACAAAATAATAAGTTAAACATTATAATTTTTAGATATGTAAGCACATCACAACAAAAATATTAGTTCATTTAATTACATTAATCACATAATAAAAATTATTTATCCAGCATCTATTTTCTAGATCGAGGGTGTGATGCACCTAAAAACATAATCGCATTAAACATGATTAAAAAAAATTGCACCTTTCAATGAGTAGTTGATTAAGGACTAACTATTCGTATATATTAAAATGACTTTAATATCATCGAATATATTTTTTTTTTAATTTCTAATTTCATAAATTTTTTTCTGATATAGAGATAAATCTACTAAAATAAAAACATTAAGAGCATCTTCTACAAACCAGCATATTTAACTTTAAAGTTTTACAATTAATTTATTTTACATCATGTGATTATCTCATAAATTCATAATTAATTTTTTCTTAATATAGCATTCAACCAGGTATAAATTTCAATAATCAGGAAATAATCTTTAATGATTAACTGTTCAACGGGGTATTATTTTCAGTAACCAGGAAATAATTTTCAAGACTTGTCCATTCACCAAGGCATTATTTCCAGTAACTAGTGTTATAATTTACAATTTATAAAATTCCTTCTACAATAAAAAATAAACTAATTAATTATTTCAAGGTCTCAAACACTTACCTGATATCTGTGTTCGTGAAAAAAATTCTTTGTTGCTGGTTGAGTCTCGTAGCCTTATTTGTACCAACACAAATTACTAAATTATTTTTACCTATTGGTATTGGTAAAATTTTCAATGCCAATTACATACTTATTGAATATACTCTGAAACATTCATTTATTTATTTACAAAAATTATTATTTAAATTAACTTATCAACATCAATTATTTTCAATAAGGCAAGATCCCTCAATAATATTATCAAAACTCAATTTCTTTTTCTATTTTTCTTCTTTTAACCAAAATCAACCTAAGAAAGTAAGTAGAGATTTTTTTTCCTTTTCTCTTTAAAAAATTCTTACTCCTTTCATAATAATAACATTTATAAACCTATTTCTTCCCACATTTTCCAAGCAATTGTATTAAAACCTCACATCTCCTGATTATTCCCTCTTTTGGCAAAAAGTTCAATCAAAATGGGGGGAAATAATTTTTGTATCCTTTATTTAAAATTAAACACTTACCCAATCTTAATACACGCATTCTAACATGATTCAATTATAATTTATATCATTTCCATAATCTATAACATAATCCCACAATTTCACATAATTTCAATTCTACATAATCCTTCATCAAACATAAAATTAGAGGAATAAATCATTTGGAGCATGTTATTTACCTCATTTTGATAAGGATTAAAGAAAAGAATATAAGAAAAAAATCAAGTTTTCTTCTCCTCCTCTTTAAACCCTAGTTTGAATTTCATTTTTCAAGGTACTCACCACCTTAAAATAACCTCTTTAGATATTTAATTAAGCTAATTACTCTAATTACTCATTTTAATTGGTGAAATTAACAAGAAAAACAAATCACACAATTTCTTTCGTTCTCTTAGTTTTACACTCTCAGCTAAAAAAGGGAGAAATTGGAGTACTTATAATATATAACTTATTTATTTACATATTAGCCCTCGTCATTTTTTATTTTTGTTATTTAATTTTTTTATTTAATTACACTACAACACCATATATTTTATTTAATTATATCCCTTTACAATACTTAATCTATCCGATATTTTATTTTATTTATATTATAATTTATGAGGTTTTTTCAGCAGTGAACTTAAACACCGGAGTCTAAAGGTAAGCATTTCATGATGTTTTCAATATCTTGATTCGAGATTTTTTATGAATTGGGATTGGGATCCTGTCCCCTAAATCTCTATTATTTTCTTCATCGTTATATCTTGACCAACTGCTTACTGTCATCAGAATACGTGACACGACGAAAAGATTGATGTCTTCTCCCAAGTGCAGGAGTGTCGAAGTAATAAATAACCCGGCAAGACCGGGATCGAATCACAGGGAGGTTAATTGTACAAATTATAAACAACAATTATAAAACAACAATAACAACAACAACAACAATAATAGTAATAATAATAGTAGTAGTAGTAGTAGTAATAATAATAACAATAATAATAACAATAATAATAATAAGAAAGAGAAGAAGAAGATGATGATGATGATGAGAACTTAGAGATGAAATATTAATGTAAGGATTAAACAATAATAATAACAAATATCAAGGTTAGAGGTTCCACTAATGGTATATCAAACAAGTATAGTATAAACTCTTATTATTGAATTGGAAACCACACACAAAGGAGGTTCCAATCAGATTATATATTGTTAACATGATTACATTAGTTATCTTATTCAATTAATGCTAATACTTGTAAATCTCGTCAAGCATTCATGATTATAACTTATGTTAACAACAAATCAAGTTCCTTTCATAGCTCAGGTGTCGGTTATACCATACATTATGGGCTATGAAAGTGCCAAGCATTTGTTGTACCAAGTGTTATACAACATAAATCAAGATTAGTCATTTAACAAGCAAAGTATTAAAGAGTGAACAAGATAACAAATACAAAACATGTTAGTATCAAACATTAAAGTCCATATTAAGTTTATATTATACTTATTCTTACACCATTAGTGTAACTTTTTCACCTTGACATAACTAACTTAGCTAGACATAATGAAAGAAAGCAAAATAGATAAACAAAATAAGAACATAAAAGTTAACTAAAGTAAAGGAAAGGAAATGAAAAGCATAAACTTGATATTAATGAAAGTAAAGCATAAGCATTACAAAAAATACAAAGAGAGAAAGCAAGAGCATGATCTTGATCTGGAAACCAAGATGCCTAAATACATGGCAAATGCCTCCTTTTATAGGCCAAAATTAAAAACTATTGATTTGATGACTAATTGATAAGTGGGTGACCAACTTTTGACTTGGTGACAATCTTTATCTTCTCTTGTCTGTCCAAAACGTCATTGCTAACGTCAAAATTGGAGCCAAGTGAAAACATGAAAGTTGTAGGCAATTGTCTCAGCTTTCTTGTGTAAAAAATTCAACTCATTTAGACTTTTAGAACTCCAGATATGGCCAAAATACCGAACAATGCTCGGGCTGGAAGACAGATTCGGGCTTCTTTGTTGTTGCTACAATTTGGACTTGCAAATGGCCTTTTTAGATCTTGGGCTCCATATGAAAGTTGTAGGCCTATGTCTTACCTTTCCATCCATATAAATTGGATCTAAATATGAGATTTGTAGCTCCAGATATGATCCAATTACCAAACAATGTTCCGGTTTGGATTGCACCGACATCTCTTTTCTATGTTTGACCATCTCTTTGCCTTTGCAATTTAAGTTGTTAAAATTATCAATCAATATTTTCATTTATGTGATAGACCTGCATTTAAAATGAATATTTACCATAAATTAAAGGTATCTTATATTATTAGATATATTATTATAAAACATGTTTTAGTTAAGGAATTATTGATACTTCAAGTGCAAAATGATGATATAAAACTATGATAAAAATATACGTTTAAGTACTAATTAATACGTTAACTTAATATATATATATATATATATATAGAAAGACTAAGTGGCTGTAAGACTAGAATGACCAGCTTACTCCAAAATACAAGCATCCAAGAAAATGCAATTAACTGTTTTTTTTTTTAAATCCTGTCATTATCAAACTCAACAACTTGCTTCATTTTTAAAAAAAAAAACAAACAACAAAGAAAGACTTCGGCGGAGAGGAGACACAAAGTAATTTTTTAAAATGAAGGACCCGAGCAATCGGCGAGTCCATAAGAACGAGACAAATTAATAATTAGTGTGGAACCTAATTGCTAGTTGGGACCAGCCAATTAAGACAAAGTCACTGTATAATTTTAAGTTTTGTAGTTTCTCCAGCAAACCCTTCACACTTCTGAACTATATTTCATGGCTTGAAACTTCTGAACAATATTTCACTGGATCTGATAAACTACTGTTCAGAAGTTTCAAGCCATGAAATATTGTTCAGAAGTGCAAAGCTAGCCTGTAAACATTGATGATGTATGATAAACTACTATGAAGTCTATATGTCAAGAGAATAATGGTACGCTACAAAAACAAATTGTTGTATAATTTTAAGTTTTGGTCCTGAAACTAGTAAAAATTATTTGGCCCTCTAACAAAATTTCTTGGCTCCCCCTTATATATAAGGTATTCGAAGTTTTAATTTCTTAGAGATGCTATATCTTAAAATCAACTGATTTTTTTAAGAATGTGTAACAGATTTGATGAGTCTCAACTACTCTTACGAGTTAGTGCATAGCTCAACCTGAAGCTCTATTGTTCGCAAAATCTATCAGACTTTCTTCTTCAAAGGGATCTCCTCAATTGACCATGCAGATTTAAGGAATTTTACCCCCGGAACATGAAAATGAAACTAACTGTAAGAAGAAACTCTGCTGCCGTTCTAGGTTTCTTGGAAATAGGAAAGAAAGTCTGAGTACCTATTTTCACAAGTGGTTAAGATTTGGCAGAGAGTATATACAGCGCAATTTTTTAATGTCTTGGCTTCAGCATGCCAAGTTTGGCCGTAGTGCTTCGTGGAAGATGCCGTCATCAATCAAATAATACAGTGAGGGAGGGACCCTCTGATTTCAAGTTGAATGCACCTCTATTTCACAACTTCAGACCATTTTTCTCTCTCTATTGCTCAATCTTTCTTCTTTGATTTCCCAAAGAATAAAACAAGAGAATATGGCAGCAGAGCTTTTTCTTACGTTTGCCATGGAGGAGACTTTGAGAAGGGTGAGTGCCATGGCTGTTGAAGGGATCGGACATGCTTGGGGATTGGAGGAACAGCTGCAAAAGCTCAAGCAATCCTTGACCATGATCCAAGCTACGCTCCACGATGCAGCAACAAGGTCAGTCACAGACGCTTCTGTGAAGGGTTTGCTGGAGAAACTACAAGAAGTAGCTTACGATGCTGAAGATGTTCTAGACGAGTTTGCTTATGAGATTCTCCGAAAAGACCTAAAGAAGGGAAAGGTACGTGACTTTTTTTCATCCCACAACCCTGCCGCATTCCGTTTGAATATGGGTCAAAAAGTTCAGAAGATCAATGAAGCCCTGGATAAAATCCTGGATGTTGGCTCTCGTCTTGGATTGAGAAATCTACCTGAAGTTAGGCGGGATACACGCCGACAAACAGATTCCATCCTTGACAGCTCAGCAGTTGTCGTAGGAAGGGAGGATGATATCTCTAAAGTTTTGGAGTTGCTGACTAGCATGACCAAATCCCAACATGCCCTTTCAGTTGTCCCTATAGTGGGGATGGCTGGCCTCGGAAAGACTACTATAGCAAAAAAGGTTTTCCAAGAAGTCAAGGACAGAAAGCTTTTTGATGTAACGATATGGGTTTGTGTTTCTAACCATTTTGATGAAGTGAAGATTTTACGAGAAATGTTGCAAAAGATTGATAAAACTACTGGCCGGATGGACAATCTTGATGCAATTCTTGAAAACCTCAAGAAAGAGCTGGAAAAGAAAACGTTTCTTCTTGTTCTTGATGATGTGTGGAATGAGGACCATGATAAGTGGGCTGGTTTGAAGGAGGGATTGTTAAAAATTAAAGACAAGAATGGGAATGCAGTTGTTGTTACAACCCGCCTTGAGGTAGTAGCAAACATGACATTGGAGACTTGTCCCGGGAGTCAGCACGAGCCATGGAGACTGTCAGAGAATCAATGTTGGTCAATTATCAAGCAAAAGGCGAGTGGGGGTGGAGGAGCATCCATGACTTCAGACTTGGAGTCTATTGGAAAAGAGATTGCAAAGAAATGTGGAGGGCTTCCATTGCTTGCTAATGTTTTGGGAGGAACTCTTCATGGAAAGCAGGCAGATGTGTGGAAGTCAATTCGAAACAGTAGAATTTGGGATTCTCAGGATGGAAATAAAGAAGCTTTGCGCGTATTAAGACTCAGTTTTGATCACCTGTCTTCGCCATCACTGAAAAAATGTTTTGCATACTGTTCCATTTTTCCTAAAGATTTTAAAATTAAAAGGGAAGAGCTAATTCAACTTTGGATGGCTGGAGGTTTTCTCAGGCCATCAAATGGAGGGATGGAAGACGAAGGCAACAAGTGTTTCAATGACTTGCTTGCAAATTCCTTTTTCCAAGATGTTGAAAGGAATGCGTATGAGATGGTAACAAGTTGCAAGATGCATGATCTTGTGCATGATCTTGCATTACAGGTCTCAAAACCAGAAATATTAAATCTGGAGGCGGATTCCGCTGTAGATGGTGCATCTCATATTCTTCATCTCAATCTCATTTCTTGTAGGGATGTGGAGTCAGCATGTCGAGCGGTTGATGCTAGAAAATTGCGCACTGTTTTCTCAATGGTTGATGTATTCAATGGGTCTTGGAAATTCAATAGCTTGAGAACTCTCAAATTGCGACGGTCTAATATCATAGAGTTACCAGATTCAATTTGCAAGCTGAGACATTTGAGATATCTTGATGTCTCACGTACCCGTATCAAAGCATTCCCAGAATCCATCACAAAGCTTTACCATTTGCAAACTCTAAGATTCATTCGTTGTTACTCAATGCAAAAGCTTCCCAGGAAAATGAGAAATTTAGTGAGTTTGAGACATCTTCATTTTAGTGATCCACACCTAGTGCCAGCTGAGGTGAGACTCTTAACACGCCTTCAAACTCTGCCTTTCTTTGTTGTGGGTCCAAATCATATGGTTGAAGAGCTGGGATGTTTGAATGAACTAAGAGGAGCATTGAAGATATGCAAGCTTGAACGGGTTAGAGGCAAAGAAGAAGCTGAGAAGGCAAAACTACGTGAAAAAAGAATGAACGAATTGGTATTTGAATGGAGTGATGAAGTTAACAGCAGTGTTCACAACAAGGAGACGCTAGAAGGCCTGGAACCTCACCCAGACATAAGAAGCTTGACAATTGGGGGTTACGGGGGTGAAAATTTCCCATCATGGATGTCTACTTTGCTACTCAATAATCTGATGGTGCTGAGATTGATAGTCTGCAGCAATTGCAGGCAACTCCCAACACTTGGATGTCTTCCTTGCCTTAAGATTCTTCATATAATTGGAATGCCTAGTGTGAAATGTATAGGCAATGAGTTCTATAGTAGCAGTGGCAATGCAGCAGTACTGTTTCCAGCACTAAAAGAACTCACTTTGGAGGATATGGATGGTCTTGAAGAATGGATGGTACCAGGTGGAGAAGGTGATCGAGTATTTCCTTGTCTTGAAAAGTTGAGCATTAGGAAGTGTGGCAAGTTGAGGCAACTCCCAACACTTGGATGTCTTCCTCGCCTTAAGATTCTAAAGATAAAAGGAATGGGTACTATAAAATGTATAGGCAATGAGTTCTATAGTATCAGTGGCAGTGCAGTAGTACTGTTTCCAGCACTAAAAGAACTCACTCTGTCCAAAATGGATGGTCTTGAAGAATGGACGGTACCAGGTGGAGAAGGTGATCAAGTATTTCCTCGTCTTGAAGAGTTGCACATTGAGAAGTGTGGCATGTTGAGGCAACTCCCAACACTTGGAAGTCTTCCTTGCCTTAAGATTCTAGAGATATATGCAACGGGTACTATAACATGTATAGGAAATGAGTTCTATAGTAGCGGTGGTAGTGCAACGATACTGTTTCCAGCACTAAAAGAATTCATTTTGTTGTATATGGATGATCTTGAAGAATGGGTGGTACCAGGTGGAGAAGGTGATCAGGCATTTCCTTGTCTTGAAAAGTTGAGGATTAGGAATTGTGGCAAGTTGAAAAGCATTCCTATATGTCGTCTTTCATCTCTTATAGAATTTGAAATTGATGGATGTGATGAGCTGAGATACTTATGTGGTGAGTTTCATGGCTTCACGTCTCTTCAGTTGTTGAGCATACATTGGTGTGAGAAGTTGGCATCCATTCCAAGCGTACAACACTGCACAGCTCTGGTGGAATTGGGTATACGGGGCTGCGGTGAGTTGATCTCAATTCCTGGTGATTTCCGAGAATTGAAACATTCTTTGAAGGAATTGGAAATTTGGGGTTGTAGAGTGGGAGCTCTTCCAAGCGGACTGCAATTTTGCGCATCTCTAGAGCAATTGCAAATAGGGAATTGCCAAGAGCTTATCCATATTAATGATCTACAAGAATTGTCTTCACTACGAAGTTTAGTGATAAGATATTGTAAGAAGCTCATCAGTATTGATTGGCATGGTTTACAGCAATTGCGTTCTCTTGTTTATTTAGAAATCACTAAGTGTCCTAGCTTGAGTAATTTCCTAGAGGATGATTGCTTAAGCGGCCTCACCCAACTGAAGCAATTGCTAATCGGTGATTTCTCAGAGGAGCTGGAGGCTTTTCCTGCAGGAATTTTAAACTCATTCCAACAGCCCAACTTGAGTGGGTCCCTTAAATCCCTAGTCATGTATGGATGGGATAACCTGAAGAGTGTACCACACCAACTTCAACACCTCACTACTTGAGTGGGTCCCTTAAATCCCTAGTCATGTATGGATGGGATAACCTGAAGAGTGTACCACACCAACTTCAACACCTCACTGCCCTTGCTAACTTGTATATATATGATTTCGAGGGGGAGGAATTTGAGGAAGCTTTGCCAGAATGGCTAGCCAACCTTTCTTCTCTTCAATATATTCAGATTGGGGGTTGCAAGAATCTCAAGTATCTGCCAAGCTCAACAGCCATTCAACGCCTCTCCAAATTAAAGGAATTGGTTATTCATGGATGTCCTTTGGTGGAGTACTCTGAGTGGTGCAAGATTTCTCATATCCGATCAACCAATATAAACGGTTTGAAATATGTACAGGTAAGTTAAAACTTAACATTGATAAAACTCACATTCAAATAAAGGCATTCATCCAAATATGAATTTATTGATAAGTCGTTAAAATTTAAAAATTATAACCATTAAATCAATAATTTAAAGCAACACTTTTTAGTTCACACCAAAATTAAAAAAGGCATTCATTCTGCAATTTGTAGTTTAGCGTTGTTCATGTTTCCAAAACTAATACCAAGTTGGCTATTTTAACTATCATATTTGCAGTCGGACCTCGAAGACTACGACCTCGAAGACTAAAGGATGCCATGGAATGGTTATTTGAAGCTTATTCACAATAGTGTTTGTCAGGCTGGATAAATGTAGTTGGTTCAGCTGGAAATTCTGCAAATGAGAAGGGCGAGAAAATCCATTGAAAAACAACGCAAATGTAGAAATAAAAATTAAGAGATGATCCAAAAAGCGCAGATCCGAAAAAAGGACAGGAACCAAATTTGAAACTGGATCAACACAAGCTCACCAAAACAATAGACGAAGCCATTCGAATGAAAACTCCAAGAGAAGCAACCAAGATCCCACCACTGTAAACTACAGGAACAGGAGAAAGGCAGAGAAAGGTACGAAAATAAGCAAAGGCAATACATAATCAAATAAAAGACCTGGAAAGCAGTAAGGGGACAACTAGATCAAAAATGGATGAAGCTGGCGGCTTATCACCAAAATAGTACGAGCTCAATACAGGAATGGATGTGACTTATTGTTTGTATGCGATGTTACTTCTATTATTTTATTTTAGACTTTTTTCTCAACATTTAGGAATTCAGTTTTCATGAAGCTATATATATTGACACTTGATGTCAAATTCTATATTCCACCAAACATGGGTCGAAATTGTCATGAACATCACCAAAAATGTTCAAAGTGACTTCTTTCTTTACCATTTTCCTCTTCTTCCATCTGCCTTCAAACCAGTAGTTCATGACCAGGTCTGTGAACCTGTATTTAGATAGTACACACTCCACACACTTGATGCATTTGCACAAACTAATTGCTTCATATATTATAGGCAATTATAATAATATTTACAAATATTTCTGCCTTCGGTGTCCTCTGCACTTGATGAGAGAACATAAATGCCAATTATGGCCCTCGTAAAACAAGAAAGAAAACGCCCAAAAACATGCCAGTCCCTACGATTTTGATTTGAGCTACAACATGGGCAGGCGTTCACAAGCGCAGCCATTGGTTTCCTCCTGGCTTCCTAACTGTTCAAAATTCTTGGACTCTTTTCCTTAGTTAGAAATAGATGGCAACGAGAAGCGAAGTGAATTAACTGGGGGGTTCTCCTAGAACATAAATAGATATTTGAGATCTTCCACAGTAAGACGAGTAGCTGAACCCCCACTTTGATCTTCGCCAAATGCAGATGCAACCATTTTTCTCCTCTCTTCCTGCAAATTGTGGTCACCAGCAAAGAAAATTATCTTTGAAAACCATAGTCAAATTTTCGAATATAAGAACACAGAGAAATGCACATTACTTCAAGATTACAAGTGATATTCTCTATCATTTACAAAGGCTTCAGCCTCTGGCACCTGTGTAACTGTCATGCCCATCTACCACCCTGAAAGTGCAATTTGTTGCCTTCTTGATAAGTTTAATGAGATTAATGTGGATGTCAGGTAAAGAGTAGCCATTTGAAGATGAAATGTCAAATGGTAATGCTGTTTCCAAATTTAACACTAAGAGCTGCTTCCGCAGGACCATAATCAACTAATAACCCTTTTGTTTCAATACTTGCCTTCCACCTTGATGTGATGTACTCATATTTTATTGCAAGTATCATCAATCCTCGATGATGTTTATCTGTAATCACTTCCCTCGATATAAATAAAGCAGAAGGCAATTCTCTTGGATTTATACTGTGCAAGGCATGACAACCTCAACATGGATAAATTAACAGAAACCCTCCTAACTCCCAGACAGACTTCCTGGCTTTTCTGGATTGTTGTCGGTTTATGATATTTAGAAGAGATAACAAAATGGGAAACTAAAGATTCATAATTAGTTGGAAAAAAAATTCTGTCCTTAACCCTAGCAACACATGATCCAGACTCTCCAGCAACCAAAAGGCAAGAACAAGATAAAACAGTTATCCAAAAACATAAGACAGAATCAATGCTTGTAGAAAGAAATAATACCAGAAGAGCTAATATTCTATCTTCTAGGGTGTCTTTTATGGTACGAACCTGTGCAATTCTATGAGCTCGATCAACAGCCTGATCCTCAGTTGTTGGATTGCACCAAAGATCCAGAAGGATTTCATGACATGCAGCAACCATGTTCAAACCAAGGTTTCCTGCCTTTAAGGACATCAGCATCACAGTGACCTGCAATAAATTTCAATCATTCAGATGCTGAATGTAAGGCAGGAATTAAAGCATCAGCAATAATTATCATGCACAACATCATCAATTTGACAGAGATCAGCATTGCATGTTTTGGCTAGTTATTAAATAGTGTATATGATACAGTACTCTTTCCATTCATCAGGTAGAGGCGTTCATTATTAACATGTTTTTCATTGAGAATGAATGAAAAGAAACCTTCAGGAATTAAGATTGTTTCAAGAATTCATGAGGTAGGGGCCAAACCTTGGGATCAGTGTTGAAATCTTTAACAACCCTGTTTCTTGAACTCAGAGTCAGTGTCCCGTCAAGCCTCCTATACTGGATGCAAAACTGATTCAGTGAAATTTCAACCAAATCCGACATGCTAATCCACTGGGAGAAAACAATTGCTTTTATTCGTCCTTCAGTTGACGAGTTCGAATATGCCATTGACATAGCACTGGATCCCTTAGAACCATTAAATCCTGAAATTGGACTCTCTACCTTACAATGGGATTGAACCTCAAAAACAGCTTTGATTTTTGAGGAACTATACACGTGCTGAAGGACTATCAATGTATCATCAAATGTGGAATTTGAGGAACTAGCATCAAGGCTGTCGGAGATTCTTCTTCTAAGAGTCGCTTCAGAGAAAACAACATCGGAACCAAGTTGCTCTTTGCATCAGAAGCAGGGCAAGTATTATCATCTCCTGTCAAGTATTCTGACACGCACTGATAGCAGAAAACATGTTAACAACAGAGTCCTCAACCGGATCCTGTAAGAGCAACATATAATAGAAAAAAGATGGGTCTGATGCAAGGTGGTACAGTTTTTGTCTTCACTGGTCATATGTTGTCAATTTAACTTATTGCAGGTACATACTCGCACTTCAAAAGAGACCCCTCTAACATGGTATAGACAAAGATGTAACCACTAGATGTTGACAAGTGTGTAATCACTAAGTAGCATGGTACAGGCATGTCCAGAAAAGAACTAGACACTCCTCTAACAAGGTTGGCAAGGAAGTTCATCAGTAACAAGAAACTAGGTTCTCACAGGTGAAAGTTTGAGTTTTCACAGATACTAACAAGATTAAGATAGTATCCAACAAAGAATATCTATGAGCAGAACCTTGTCTGCCAGCACAGGCATGAAGCTGGACAGTTTCAACAAGCTTATTAAGCACAGTCAGCAGAGGATAATGAAACAAACAAGAATGTGTGGTTCAATAGCTTTTTCAGTTGCTTGAAAAATGTAATCTACAGTCAACTGCATGAAGGAGTTTGGCCCATGGATTAAAACCATTGGCCACAGATTGGCTAAGCATTTTGTAGTGATTGAGAGCATCAAACAGATGCAATAACTCTATAAAGTTGTTCCATGATGAAATATCAGCTCCGTCGAAGCGTAAACAGGATCCGGTATTAATTTAAACTATTATCATAGCAATTTCAACCTTGTGTGATCTATAAACATAAGGACCCTTAGTTGAGTGCTTCTATGGAAACATATCACCAGAGAGAATTACGGTAGCCTTACATACGTGATCTATAAACATAAGGATCCTTGCTCGCATCCAGGAAACAACTGCTTTTTTTTGTAACAAAGTTTACAGCTTCAGACTTGTAAAAATGCACAGAGCCTAAATGTTAACTAGTTTACAAAAGCAAAGGAGAACCATAATCTTCTCTAGAACAGAGATACAAGCCCAATATCATAATACTTACAAATTACATACAGGATAGTGCATGTCTTTGCTTATTCCCATCTCCATGAGTATTGAATGCAACAATCCAGGCAAGAAACGAAAGAGAAAAGTTCCCAAACCAATCTGAACAGCAACGATCATAAAATAAAAACAAACCTTCTTTTGATGATGAATAAAAAACTGAATGTGAAATGAGAAAGTCGATACACACAAGGAATGAGTACAAGAAAATTGCAAGCGAGCTCTTTTGACCTGTTGGCAGGAGCTCCATTCCCTGTCAACAATCCAATTCTTCTATAAATAATAACCTTATACCAATGATGTAAAGAATAGGCTCACAGAACATCAGTGTTGTACAAGAGATCCAATTGGAGTGATTCACACTTTCTTCTCCAAATCATTTAGAGTGGCACTAATAATTAGGATACCAATCTGAACTAACAACAAGAAGAAGCAAATAGCACAAAAAAAGAAATGAACATATGAAGGAACAACTAGAAAGTATTAGCGGTGCCTATTGGAATGCATTTTGACTCCAATGACTCATGTTCACGTTCAACAAATATTAAGAAAAACATGGAACAGCGATGGCTAACTGATGCGATCACAATTCACAATTCAAGAACATAGGCTTTATAACCACACTACCTGAAAAAGAACCACACGTATTACAAGGTTGGTCCCAATCGCCATGCTACTGCTGTAGTAAAATACCAAAGACCTGCTCAAAGTGGATGTGACGCTCAGCATAATGACACCCAATATTAAGAATATCAGACGATACAAGAAAATTGCAGAACAATAGCAAAACAAATTGCTAACATAAAAATGAAGTACCAAAAACCTGAGATGTTACTCCTGAAAACAACAGGTAGAACAGAAATGGTAAAACCAACCCTCTTCAATCGACAGCTCAAGGGTTTCTGAGGATACACCAGCCATTCTTTTATCTAACAACTTGCGGTCGAAAGGTGACATGGATCGAACCCACGAACCACCCTTATCAATCTTCTCCCACATTTCCTGGGGGCACATCCCTATCGCACGAGACGCGTTCCGGCAAAGAAAATACATCAATGGCTCTTAAATTTCCAGCTCAAAAGCTAGTGCCTAATGCCTAGGTAAGAAAAGGCAGTCAAAAGCATTGCCATTTTCGTAAAAGAAAAACTCACCTGTGAAAACATACCTTAACGTGGGGTCTGCGAAAACTGGAGTTAGAAGGTGAGAGTTTGAGCTTCAAAGAATGGGAAAACTTGTTCAAGTGTTTAGGCCTTGGCAACCCATTGATATAAATTCTTTCGCAAAGCACCAAAGTCCCTAGCTTTGAGTTCATAACTCTCAAGCTAGGAGATATTTGCACTTTACTACTCTCACCAACAGATAAAAGACCCCAAGAAACAAAAAGTACAAATCTTTTAAAATATACATTAATAATTTTGATAATTACTGTATTTAAATATCAAAATTCTTAGACTTAAAGAGAAAAAATTAAGCAGAGAGAGAGTAGGGTACCTAAAGAGAGTTGAAGGGGAAGGGAAGATGGGGCAAATGACTACAATTGAGAGAAAAATTTGAAATTAAAAGAACATGAAACCAAATTTTAAAAAAATATAATATACAATAAATTAAGATTAAAAAGTAAATAAAATTTTTATAAAATAACCAAGAAAAAAATCTAAAAATCGAAATGTCAATAATTGAAAGGATTATTTTAAAATTTTATATAGTTAGCGTAATTTTTAAGAAAAAAAAAAAGAAAAAAAAAACCTTGTTAATGACAATCTATCTCATCGTCATAGCCACGAGTAGCACCCCTACGAAGAAGATGGTGCCCGATTCCAACGGCATGGAGGAATTATGTTTTTAGCCACGGGAAGAAACTGCGTCCCCTTCAAAAAGCTAGCTCTTTTTTTCTTTCTTTCTTTCAAGGTGAAATAATAATTTTATTGTGCTTTTAAAATAAAACAATTTCACCATAATTAATTTGACAATAGCCAATAAATCCTATGAGAAAATGAAAATATCTCAACAGCTAGACCATTGATTTTTTTAAAAGGTAAAATACTAATTACAGCATTATAGTTAATAGTAAAATATGTCCAGGTGTATGATTAATCTCCCTTTCCTTTTAGTTCCTTTTTTAATTGAGAAAAAAATATATTCACTTTAAATTGCATACTTATTTTTCCTCTTCTTTTTATAAAATACCCTATTTGTTTTTATGTTTTAAGAATACTTTTAAAAAAATTAATTTTTTTATCTTTTTACTTTAAATATTTTTAAATTATTTTGATATATTAATATTAAAAATATTTTTTAATATATTTTAAAATAAAAATATTTTAAAACATAACCACAATTCAAATCTTAAACGCTCATGAATAAATGAAACACCACCAAAATCCAATTCGGTCAAAATACAAGAGTGAGTACTTCCAATGGAAGGCGACATGGGAATAGGTGCAGACGTCGAGCGGTGTACTACTAGACAGCATAGCATTAATCATTGGTCTGACCCGAAATACGGAGCTGTAGGCTTGCGCTATCGGACCGGTGCCTACTAATCTCGTAATTTTAAAACATTAACCACTGGTCTTCTTTAGCTCTCATATTGTCAGGCTCTTCTCATGCCAAAGCCATTTTGAATTCATTGCTATTTACTATAGATATCATCACTGGCAGCAGTAACACCAACATTGATACACTTAGGCCTGCTATTTCTATGGTCTTCGTGTAAAATCTTATTATGAAATCCCTCAGCAACTCTCGCCTTTCTTGTCATTTACTCATATGAATGTAATTGTAGTCTTACATGATCTCCTGCTTGTTGCAAAATGATGTAGAGATTCAACTACAAGGTCCCAGAAGTTACTCATATATCTGTAGAGTAAGTTGGAGAACCATGGTCGGGGCTCTCCTTCTAAAATTGATGAAATGCTCTATAAGACACCATGTCTGCCATCTGATATAGCATCATCATCATTGGAAAGCAATTAACATGGTTGCTCAGATTGGTCAGACCATCACAAGTTTCCAAAAAAGGGAGCCTAGTGCGCGGTAGAGGTGGTACCAATACATGCTTAAAAAATGGAGACTCCTCCCTCTAAGAGCTCCGTCCCCTTTTGCCCTGGACTTTAATGCTTCCTTTGTCTTCTAGTCTACCATCCTTATCATAAAATCTAGAAAGAAAAACATGCTCATAGTTCAAAAGTTAAAATTAGAAGGAAAAAAAAAATCAATTTGCAAGTTATCTATTTAAAAAAAATACACTTGCAATTCAGAGCGTGTAGGGTTAGGCCCTTAAAAGGCTATTTGATTTACGGCAGGGGGATTCATGTTCTTGAACCAGATTTTCAGATTTATAGCCAAATAGCTAGGCACTTCATTGAATATTGGGTGCCCGGTTGCCCATCTTCGCATTCAAAAAGTTGGAATATAAGAATCTATTTAACATTTCTAAGTTGTGCATAGTGATTTAATAATATTCAATTATTCACTATAAATGTTGCACAGATATTTCTATATGATTAATTTGTATATTAAAATAGACAAGAGCTAGCTTAATTAAATCGTGTTAAAGGAGAAAAGTTATTATGCTTTCCCAGAAAATAGATTGGAGCTCATTTCCAAGGACAATAATTCACAAGCCTTCTCCAAGGGATCGATGGCTGTCAACTTGCTGGGTTAGGTAACGCTACCCAATCTCCCCCAAAATACTCCTTTCGGAAGACAAAGCCATGAGCTATAGTAAGGTTGAGTCCTCGGAGCACAAGTTATTATAGCCATAGTTGGAACTAAATAGATATGAAGAAGGTTCGTCGAAAAATTATTTCCCTTAAAAAGCAAGCCATCGAGATTGGTAAAAACCCAATCAAGCAAAGTTATCATCCAATCTAATCCCATTTCTTAACTTCCAACACAACATTTGAATTTTTTAAAATTGAATTAAAAACAGGACAGAGTCTCTGTTGGATGGAGAGAATCCTCCATCCGACTTTACCTGATTGGATCAAGGTGGGTGACGGGTTTGGATATTCCAGGTCAGAAGCCGATGGACAAAACACCTGCCCTGACCCAATCTATCGCCAATTTGGCATCCCTCCCTGTAAACATCTAACGTTATTATTGCAGCATGAACTTAAGCGGCAGGGAATAATTTTGGCAAAATTTTGGATACAAGACAAGCACTGCCACAGGGATTTAGTCACCCACCGATCCTAAAATTGGCCCTACAGCAATTTGGCTGCTCTTTAACGAAGCTTCATGCAAATTACCTACACGCAGTCATGTCAAAATCAAAAGCAGTGATCATCAGAATAAATATATTAGATACACCAGCACCACAAGTAGCGAAAAGGTTCTGCACCTTTCCTCTACTGGAAAAATGATGCTCAGTTGCATTGAGTAAAGATCAGCTACAATATGTCTTTCTCGACAGATGTTTCCAGTACTCCTATTAACTTGTACTGCAACGAAACACCTGGTGTTGCACTTTGCTCCAGTAATGATGATGACATTAGTGAAACCAGTAGCCTTTCATCTACAGATTTCCCAGTTGATATCGATGAGAGCTACATTGATAATATCCTCCTTTCTGAGCTTCATCAAATGCCAGCAACCGAGCTAATAACTCGATTTCTGGAGATTTCACAAGTTGGTTCAGCTCATCAAGATGCACTGAATTGGATGTTAAAGGTTGATGCTAGTCTTTTGAATCCACTCCCCTGTGCAATTCTTCTTTCTTTCGTGGTAATTAAATATCATTTCTGCTTTGCAGGCGCATGCTTCCTACCGGTTTAAGCCTGAAACAGCCTATCTCTCTGTCAGTTATTTTCATTGCTTCATACTGTCTCGTCCTTTGCAGGTAATGTGTTCTTAACTTAATGATCATTATATATTTCAATCGTAGGATGGTTAATTGCTAACTACATTGGAGCCACATACATTAAAGAACATATCAATAGGTATCAGAATCATTCTCTACTCTAATATTAGGATGCCCTGCCCAGAAGATTGACAAAATTTAGCCTGTCAAATTCTCATTTAATCGCTGTTTCATGCAGCAAGGTAAAGGATGGCCCCTGCAGCTATTAGCAGTAGCATGCCTATCTATAGCAGCAAAATTGGAGGAAACAAGAGTCCCGTCTCTTTTAGACATACAACTATTGGAGCCCAGATTTTTATTTAAACCAAGCACAGTTCAAAGGATGGAGCTTTTGGTCATGAGCTGTCTCAAGTGGCGATTACACATCATTACACCTTTCTCTTTTCTGCATTATTTCGTTGCAAAGCTTCCACATCTCAGCCCGAGAAGTAAAAATTTTATTTTAACTCATTCATCCGATCTTATCATCAGCACATGTAGAGGTAATTAATTCCTAGAGTGATCAGATTTTCCTATCTCTTCTATACAAACAAAATTCACAGCTAGCTTGCATGAATCTTGACAGTGATTAAAATCTTGGCTTATACTCCATCAACAATAGCAGCAGCTGCAGTGCTATGGGTGACTAATCAAACTATTGATGGCCCCAAATTAGAGTGCTTTCACAGTAGAATGGACAAGGCAAGTCTTAAAACTTTATCTTCATCAAGTCTTTATCAGGGGGTTGTATTAGTTTTGGTGCACGATAAGCTCATCAGACAAATCACAAAATATTTATCACTAAAAAAATATTAAAGCCCTCACTAAGAGTTTATTTGGATCTGAGGCTATTAGACCATGTAATAGTGATTAAGGTCAGTCTGTCCAAACTTTTCTTTGTTTGGTGAATCAAATGTAAAAGTAAGTAACAAAATTACCGTTTCATGACAAAAATGGACACAGGAAATGGTGAGTGGATGCTACAACCTTATTAGGCAAAGCATGCCTCAACGGTGTCGTAGTGAGGTACTTGATGCAACCATGCCGGGGAACTGCCATGCAAAGAGATGCTGCGGGAAGGGTTTGAGGTACGCCGGGGAATTGCCATGCAAAGAGATGCTGCGGGAAGGGTTTCAAGTCAAGCCAAGACATGTCTCCAAACAAGTGCTGAAAATTGATACTGCTTGCAATATTTATATATCAAAAGTTTGGCCTCTCTTATATTTAATTGTCTATTCTTTCTCAAACAAATCCTCTTTTTTGAGATAGATTATTTTTTTCATTCTGTATTGCAACGATTGCATTTTCCTTCCACATTATTTTTTTTTCATTTTGTATTGCAACGATTGCATTTTCCTTCCACAAAACCAAGTGACTGAATATTGCCACTATCTCAATCTCAATAATATTGTAAACTATTATTGAATTGTTTAAGTTATGATATAATGTGATATCATGTATATATTAAATTCTTGAAAAAAATATATTGAGTTTTGAAACTACTACAAAAAATAACTTTCCACCAACTTCAATTTCTTTTATGTCTAGCATTGCCATGAAGAGTCGTGGCGGTTGGTATATATATATTTAAGCTTATGAGATTTTCAAACAATTCATTAACTACAATCCAAATTTTATCTTCAATTGGATTCTTCATTTATAATATTTGTTCTTGTTCAAAGCTAAAAGTCTCCTCCTGTCTTTGTTTCTCTTAAGATCTTGTTTAAATCCACCCATGGAATACAACTAAACTAGACATATCATTTTTATTTTTTTATTTATTAAAAGTATGAAGATAATTGACGGTAAATAAATTGCATCATAAGATCAGCATAGAATTACTTTATCATAATCAATGTAAAATCTAAAATATAATTTATATTATTTTTTTATATAAAATCCAAAATATAATTTATATTATTTTTTTATT